ACTTCACCCAGCTGATAGCGTAGTGGGGACACTCAGAACAAACAGGCAAGTACAACAGAGTGAGATACATGCATGGCAGAGGGACAGGGAATGCTCTGGACCACGCCCCAGCGATGCCTCCTCCAGACTTGGGAGATCAGAGAAGCTTCCCGGAAGTGGCATTAGTTGAAAACGTGAAGCATTATAAGCCACCTGAAGGCAATAAGAATAGTAACGCCAGCGGAACACCAGGTAGAGTCAACCTAACTAGTGTACCCAAGTGATAGTCAACTTCTGAATCCAGATGTGACATGTGGTTATCTTACCACTGCCCCCATGTAACCCACGGACTGGCCACAATTCACCCTGAATGCTAAGTTCTGTAACATATTTCCAGTTCCTTTATTTCTAAATATTTCTGCTTTCTCTGAACACAAATTGTACTATTCACTATCTTTACCCACATCCCAGCTATGAAGCATTTCAACTCAACCCAACAAGGGCCTATGTGGGAGACAATAAATGAATATGTGAGGTAGGGAGAGGAGCGCTGGGGCCCCAGGACAAGGACCACATAACCACAGAAGCGCAGAACTGAGAAAAGCCAGGTGACTATCCACTGCCCATCCCACTCCCCACAAACCATGCAGAGGGAACCCAGCCCTACCACTCCTGCTTGTGAAACAAACACCCCCACTCTGAACTGATCTGAAGTTCGATACATTTTTCTGGACCCTGTGTCTGTCGTATTCTAAAAACAGCAGAATGGGGCCGTGCTGTCAAAGTAAGTAGTCAAAGGACCTAACAGTTGGGTCCTTTTCCTCTGTCCATTTGAATATGGTACATGTCCTGCCTCCAAAGAATACTAGCATTTTCTTAAATCATTTCTACATTTCATATCAATGTATAACCACAATGCTGGGACCAAAGAAAAATAATCAGTTTTGACCATTTGCTTTTCCAAAAATCCCTGGACATTCTACAAGCTAACTGAATAGTTGGATGAAATTACTTTTTTAAATCTCTTCCAATCCTGAGATTTTATGATTCTATGACATAATTGGAGCCATCTTTCTTTGAGGGCTCTAGCCCAGTAAAATTATCCCAGACTATGATGTTATTATAGAATAAATATTGGATTGGTATTTCAATAATATTTGGTTTTTCAAAGTTACCAGACATAATCTCACCGTCAGTGGGCAAAGCTGCAGCTACATGTGTACGTAAACCCAGCCTGGGCTATACTCGGTCATGTGATTTACAACCAAAGACAGAGGGTTTTACTTCAAAAGATTAACTGAACACAAAATTTAAGTCACACAAAAGAATACCCTAAATGTTGTGAATGGTATGATACTTCACATCTAAGGGTGTAAAGTTATTTTGCTATTGCCTGGCCAGTGTGGTTCAGTGGTTGAGCATGTACCTATGCACCAAGAGGTCACTGAAGTTCAATTCCTGGTCAGAGCACATGCCTGGGTTTCAGGCTCGATTAGTAGAGGTGTGTAAATAAAATAAAATTATTTTGCTATCCTTTCCGAACTGAATCTAATCATGTTTTGAGGTCTGAGTACTAGAAAATACCAAAATTGCATTCAGTCTTTTAGGTTTTGTAAAATAAGTTTACAGGCATGTAAGCGGGAGCTATGCTCACCCTCTTTGCTACATAGCCTCATCCATATCTTTGGTGCACCACACTTTACGCATCTAAAACAGAAACCATATTGATAAGATACACATCTTCGCAACAAAAAGCTCAACTTGTAGCTCAAGTGATCATTCAAAACATAAAAAAAGAAGCCACCTTGCTCAAGTCCTTCACCCGGTGAGCAGTATCTAGGGCAAGATTACACCAGATGTATATGTGCTCTTCTGAGCCAATATTCTCTTCCACTACTCTGGAAACAGTATTATAATTAAGGCTGTTCCTGACAGCAAGCAACTAACCATCTGGGTTCAAACCCAGCCTCTTCTTCCACTTCCTAGCTGTGCGACCCTGGCAAGCAATTTAATCTCTCTGGGCATTAATTTCCATTGCCGGGGGCTGGGGGGCGGGGGCGGATATAATCATGATTCCACCTTCTCCAGAAGGTTGTTGTATAATTTCAATAATACCCTCACCTCAGTCTCTAGTTTGCTTTAAACCAGTTGCTTTAAGGAATTTTGAAAGGGTTACTAGAATATAGGAAAATAAACATGGAGAAGCCACTGAGTCCTAAAGAGAAAGATTTTGGAATTGCTATGGCTCCATTGGTTGAGTCACATTTAATTAAGTCTGGAATTTCCAAGGACAAAAACAGATCTTTCCAACACACACACACACGCACACACACGCACACACACGCACACACGCACACACGCACACACGCACACACACACACGCACACGCACACACACACACGCACACACACACGCACACACGCACACACACACACGCACACGCACACACACACACGCACACACACACGCACACACGCACACACACACACGCACACGCACACACACACACGCACACACACACGCACACACGCACACACACACACGCACACGCACACACACACACGCACACACACACGCACACACGCACACACACACACGCACACGCACACACACACACGCACACACACACGCACACACGCACACACACACACGCACACGCACACACACACACGCACACACACACGCACACACGCACACACACACACGCACACGCACACACACACACGCACACACACACGCACACACGCACACACACACACGCACACGCACACACACACACGCACACACACACGCACACACGCACACACACACACGCACACGCACACACACACACGCACACACACACGCACACACACACACACACGCACACACACAATACACAGGCTAGTGGGATCAGAGGTGGAGAGTTCCTAAGAAGTTGCTCTTGAGGACTGGGGTGGTAACAGCGAATAGCACGCTGTTGAAATGGGAGGGAAGGGACAGATTCCGCCATCAACTGGAAGCAATCTTTTTATATCATCCTCTCTCTCAGTATTTCAGCTCTACTGCTAAGTCTGGGTGAACCAACTCTAAACACTGTATAAACTTGGGAACACTGGGAGAGGGGGAGAGAAGCGGAGGCCAGGGTACAGGACAGTCAGTGAGACTGCTACTAACTCACTGTGAACATCTCAATGGACCACACTTTGTGCATTTGGGGCTACAGAGTTAACCCCTCCACTTCTCCATGACTGATTCATTGCTACTATGTTTGGCTAAAAACTAAAACTGTCACCCAAGCAACATCAGTCTCATTAGAAGAAGAGGAACCACCAGCATCAGCAAATATAATGACCCTTTTGAAGGCAGCTGGTTGAGGACCTGTGAATCATTCTGCAACACCCAGACAGGGCAAACCACATCAACACTACAGCTAAACAAAAAGCATCGACACCACCACCAAAAACAAAGTGATGACTGGTCAGCACTCTAGTTCTTCTTTCCCGAGCGGGCCTACTGGTGACGCACCTCATTCATTTTTAAATCATATTCAGAGTAAGTCTCCGTCGACCTGTCCAATGAAGACCTCAAGTCAGGCCACACCTGCAGATGTCACCAGCAGTTCACTCTCCTAGTGGGTGGGACCTCAGCCCAAAGTACAGAGCAGGAAAGACCTAAGTTGAAGCAGCTGGGGAAGCTGAAAGCAATGAAGGCCTGTGTCAGGAGGTCAGCAGACCGGCAGGCCCGGGCCAGAGGAAATCGTTGCTGCTGGCCATCTTGCCTTAAGTTCTGGGAGTTGCAAGTCACATGCTGCCTCTGGTCTTTTTTGGTTTTTGTTTGTTTAAATATATTTTTACTGAACTCAGAGAAGAAGGAAGAGGGAGAGAGAGAGAGAGAGACATCAATGATGAGGGAGAATCATTGATCGGCTGCCTCCTGCACGCCCCACCCTGGGGACCAAGCCCGCAGTTTAAGCATGTGCCCTGAATGGGAATTAAACCGCAAGCTCTTGGTTTATAGGTCGGCGCTCAAACATTGAGCCATGCCGGCCCACCACTGAATTTTCTGAGACCCGAAGTCAATAAAGATTGATACAAGTGCATAATCTTCATTGCCCTCAAGCCCATAACCGGTAAAGCCTGAGTGTGGCTAGAATGAGGCTCAGTGAAACCACACTCATCCCCTCTATTGGCTCTCCCCTTGTTTCCTTTCTCAAGGCTTTAATGCCACCTCTCACTGCTCTCTGAGGCTTACTTCCGGTTCCAGATCAATAATTCCTTCCTTCCGCCACATGCTGACGCTGGCTCAACTAGCGATCCTGTCGCCAAGCTTTCCATTTCTCACACCCCCTAATTATTTGGGACATGTTGAAGGATCCATTAGGTGATAAGGAATAACCTCACATGATCCCACTCAAGATTTTAGAATCTCAGTGGGAAAAATCTTGCTTATGGAGGCAGTGTTTCCCCGAAGGCCCAGCAGTCTATGTGCACTAGACATGAGCCGCGGGCACTGAGCATGCATCTGCCTCCTCGTGGGCTGTAGAAAGGAGGTAAGAGTGGGACATCTGCCACCCCCGACCGGAAGCAGATTTGGAATGGTCTGTCCCCTGAGCATTCTGGGTTCTCCATTTCGGAATAAGAGAGGGGCTGTCAGCATCAGCAGAAGGGAGACCGGGAGAGAAAAGGGTGCCATTTGGACAAAACTGCTTGTGGTTCTTGTCTATCGGAGTGCTGCTTTCTGGTCCTGTTCTTCTGTGTCACCTTCTGCTCCTCCATCCCAACTCTATTTGCCAAATACCTCAAGATGTTTCTAAGAGGCTCTGAATTATTGACGGACCTGGGGAAGATGCTTTGGGAAAAATTAAGTGCAAAAACAGACAGCCCTGTACAGCTGGTGCAAAGACTTGGTCATTGGCAGTTTCTTTCTAAGGCGGAAAGGGAATGGGGGGAGAGGGGGACGCCGGCCTCTGCTAAATAATAATGAGATTCACAGAACAGACACAGCAGCTCCAAAGTTCACATCTCCCCGGCTTTACTCACCCCGAGCCATCTTGCTCCTTTATTGGCAGCCTGTTGAATCTGGACGCGCTTCAGGGTGACATGGTAGACAGCTCCTTCCTCTACCTCTTCACCCCAGTCCTGAATCGAGCTCTACCAGGGGACGGGAAAGAGAAAGAAAAAGGTTGTTTTGTTTTGTTTTGTTTTGTTTTTCCCTCCTCTCTGCAAACCGCAATGTCTCCCAGCTGCGCTGCTGCTTACCCCAGCACTCAGGGCAAAAGACAGGCTGTTCAAAATAAATATCACAATCAGAGCTGTGCGAGACACACTGCGATAAAGGGAACGCCGAGGTTTTCTTGGCCCCCAGCCCTTTCCTGTGGTATCAGGATCCCCGGACTTTTCCATTTAGTTATTTTCCTAGACTCACTCGCAAATCTTAAATAATTTTTAAGGTGTGCGGTGTGTTGTGTTCTTTCTTCCCCAGGAGGATAGTTTTTTCTTCTTAAAGAAACTCTGGTTTAGTCCTGATGAACTTTTCCTCCTTAAAGGAAAGAAAAAACAATTCCTTGGTAGAAAAAAAGTTTGTACTTTTAGAAGTGGCTCCGTTATTGGAGCGAACTGCATTTTAAGTCAGACACAAACAAGCATTTAAAATGCCACGGGTCCAGGCGCTTTTGGAAGTCAACCGCTTCCCATCGCCTTTCTCTCCTCTTATTGTTCGGGGGACCCAACAAGTCAGCGGGGGGTGGAAAGTTTTCATTTCCATAAAATCCTCTGGCAAGTGCAGAAGAAGCGACACATCATCACGCAGCCTCTGGTAACACGCGTGCTTGCACGCCCAGGATTCCAAGTCGCAGACTCCTCCCCGCGCCACCCCGCCACTCCGTGATGTCAGGCTTTCCTGTTTGTGCCTGGAGCGCACGCTCCGCTCCCGAAGCCCCAGGGATCAAGTTAGCGGGGAAACGCTCCCCCGCTCTGCAGGTGACCCGCTGCTCCCCGGCGGTCACCCGGTGCCAAAAAAGAATCGGGTGCGGTCGAGGGGACAGAAATGTGTCTTCTCCCTTCGCTAAAAGGCATAAAGGAGGAGGAGTGCAAGAAGGGTGGGAGGAGAAAGCTGGAAAAACGTGTTATCTGCCTGTTACC